GAAGATCCTGCCTCAAAAAGCAAAAAATTGCCCAGGCTGGCCTTCAATTTGGAGTCATTCTGCTCCAGAACACCCCGCCCCCTTAGCTGTATTTGAAATACTGTAAACACAGACCCAGACTTGTCACATCAGAGTCAAACTTCTGAAAACCACGAAATCAGGAAGAGAAAAAGGGCTGATCAGAGAGAAGAAAAGGACAATGGCAACACGAGAGGACTTCTCAGAAACACTAGAGCCTAGAGGGCAAGGGATATTTAAAATCCTGAAGAAACAACAAGCAATACTTCAGGCCCCCCTCCTAACAGCACCAGCGCCCCCATGATTTGATGGCTCTCCAAAAACCCAGCCTGGGAGTGCATGGGGCTTTGGGGAGCTTCTAGATAGAACCCATAACACCCTGCCTCTGCTGTCCTCCCAGGTCTGGTTTATACTGACTTGAGCATGGCTGTGCTGTGGGGAGCTGATCTTGGACTCCCCCGGCACCTGGGACACGGCTCAGCACATCCCACAGAGGAGATTGGCGGAGACAGGACCTCCGAACTCAAAGACCCTGGACCTGGAGGCAGAATGCAAAGGGGAAATGGAGGCTGTTAATGATTTGGGTCTAGCTGTCCTCCCAAAGCCTCATATGGTCATAGGGCTTTTTCAGAGGTGTCTGGATCTAGAGGGTGTGAGGCTGGGATTGAGGATGCGGGACTACTAAACCAGTACACTGATTGGTTTGGCACTGCCCTAATCCTGTCAGTCTGGATAAAAGGGGCAGAAAGACACTATTAAATTCCCTTGATGCTTCTGCTGTCTTCCACCACTATGAACTGTTGCCCCTCTGCCACGTGCCACCCTGCCTTGGAGCCAGCCGATTATGGTCTGAAACCTCTACACACTGTGAGCTAAGTAAACCTTTTCCCTTTTAAATTTAGGTGTCAGGTATTTTGTCTCAGCAACAAGTAACTAAGGTAGGCAGGTTCAAGTCACTTGAGTTTGGGGCAAATGCTGATCTGTTTAAAGAGTCAGGCTGGGTGTGGTGGTACAGCCTGTGATCCCAGCACTCAAGAGGCTGAGACACGCAGATCACCACAAGTTTGAGGTCAGTCTGGACTACTGAATGTGTTCGAGGCCAGGCTGAATCACACAGCGAGACCCTGTCTCATAAAACCAACAAACCAGCCCGAGAGGAGCCCAGGCCTCTGACGGAGGCGATGCCCCCGCAGTTCTCATCTTTGGCCGACTTCTCGGCCACGTGGGCACAGCACCCTAGTTCTGAGGCTGGGCTGTCACCACGGTCCTTCCTCACGGAGTGTCTGGTCCAGTTACAGTTCACAAGCTCAGTGCCACAGTCGGATGCCAGTCTGCCTCTCCCCAGTTTGTCTTCTGTTTGTTGCTTCTGTCCTGCTTTCTTCGGGGGTAATAAAATGTGATTGTTTCAGGCTTCAGTTTAATTTCCCTACTGGCTTCTCTGTGATGCCTCATTTTATTGTCCAGGGGCCGATCACATCATTCTAAGTTTCTACAGCCTGTTTAGAGTTAACATTGTAAAACCCCATGATAGCCTTATAAGGAAGTTTCCTTTAGGCCTGTGCCTCACCTTTCTGCTGTTGCTGAAGGACACTTCAGACCATTTGCCTTACAGAGGCCACTCTGTAACAAACAAAATTGTGAAAATGGAGTGAATAATCCTTGTATTTACCTACTTATTTCCTTTTTATTTTTCGTACTGGGATCAAATACCCACTTATGTCTTACCCTGTTTTCTTTTTCCTTTTCCTTTTTTTGGTACCAGGGATTGAACTCAGGACCTTGTGCTTGCCAGGCAGGTGCAGCGCCCCTGATCTACATCCCCGGCCCTTTCGTTTGTTTGGTTTGAGACAGGGTCAGTTGAGTGGCCTTGAACTCGTGGCCATCCTGCTGCTCAGCAGTGGTGGGCTTTCAGCCTTGTGCTACCATACCCAGATAACTGTTTTTTGCCGGTGCCCTGGGTCTGAAGCCCCTGTGCTGTGTCCCAGTTGGTTTCCTTGGGGACAGCCAAGGAGCTTCCTGACCTTGAGGCAGGGCTGTTCCCTGTTTTTGGACTACTTCCCTAGTGCTGGCATTTCTTTCTTTCTTTTCTTTTCTTTTTTTTTTTTTTTTGTG